ACGTGCCTTGTTCGGGCTGTGCCCGACCAGGCCCCATGGGTATAGGCCTGGCCACCAGGCGCTCGCCATCGAGCCCCAACCCCAGGCCTGGCTCCAGGGGGGGGCCCCGGTGACCCGCGTCCGGGCAAGGGAAAAATTATATTTTATTATATAATAATAATTACCGTTACTGTCTATCATTGTCTAAATGTGTTTTTACTGTCTAAATATATGTGTTCAGTTAGTGTAAACATGCACGAGGCGTTACCCTTTCTTTCCGCTGTGAGACGTGCCGCGTGACTCATTTCCCTGGGCGTACAAGTTATCTTAGGTCGGCGTTCACGGTTTGACTTCTGAAATTCAGATGGAGCTGTAGGTAATTTTTTTTCTAACTGGTTGGTTCGAATTTTAAGAAATTCGAGTTCTAATGAGTTCGAGAACTGAGGTACCACTTATATATATATATATATATATTTTTTTTTTTAATGGCCCATTTATTATACTGTATATTTATTACAGTAAATGGTTTCCTATGAACTGTGCATCCTTTCATCCATCTTAAAACTGCTAATCTAGGACAGGATTACGGTGAACCTATCCCAGGAAACACAGGGCACTTTGGAAGGGATCTGAGCACATTACCCACCAAACATACTAATGCATAATCAGGGGAATGTAAATGCTAATATGATTTTATTTATTCACAATACCCCTAAGAATAGGGCCAAAATATAATGTACAATACTCGCACAATCAGTCATGATATGTTAATAAGGTCTCGTACAGAAAGAAAAGTCCTGTCCTGAATAAAAAAAAAAACCTCTATTTTTAGTCTTACAAATATGTAAAATATTGTAAAACAACATTTGAATTTGTAATGTGTAAAATGTATAGTGTTTTTGAAATATATTCTTTAATATTAGGAGTTTATTCATGTGTATCGACTACTGATGGACAAAATGACACTTCATGAACCATTTGCTGTGTTTATTGACACCACTAGATGGCGCTCTCTTTGTTCAAAAACAGCTACAGAGCTCCAAAGCAAACCAGGAGCACCATCTAGCAGGGGCAAAAAATAAAACAAACGGTTCACGAAGCGTCATTTACCCATCACTACTGTAGACCCAATGAGTGACTAGCATTATTTTTACTATGTGGTTATAAAATGAGGCGTTCCGGACCTTTCTGGAAACATATCAAAGGCCTTAACTAAATGCTGATGTACTCAGATACCTTTTTAGGAGTGTGTTTTTCTTTATAACGTTGTACGTCCTCAACACAGATCACATTATAAGTTATTGTTTGGCTTTCTTCTCACATCAGCTTCTATTAGGAGGCGAGGAACTGATCATAAAAAAACAAGCATAATACCCACTGCTTCAAAAGATGTGTAAACAAGTACATTACAGGCATAGGACTTGGACGGCTCACCTATGCTGTTTATGCTGAAAACAACCATTCCAATGTAATTTTATGGTGAAACTGTAGATTAAATTCTAAAGATGGGTTGTATGTGTTTTGTGAGAGTGGCAAATTTGCTTCTTCGAATACACAATGCAGAAATTAACATTTTGCAAGCAGTGTCATGTTCTTTCTGATTAGAGCAGCAACCTTAATGTCTATGTTCATACGCTCATCAGAACCCTCTTATATCAGCATCAGTCTTGGACACAGTCACATGATAGCATCCTCACTTCCACTCCCCAAAGCATTTCTTTACAGGTCCAAGGATTTTTGACAATGGTGCCTGAGGTACAGTATCTGTGCCTGTCCTACCGTTTATGTGTGTTAAACTGTCTGCATCACTTTAATAGATATGAAGCACAGGCATGCTTTACTCGCTTGGTTGGTGGAAAAGGGGTGGAGGCGTGAAAGTGGAGATGGAGATGGCGGGAGTTTGGGTAACATCTCTGTCAGGTTGTAGGCAAGTATAGGAGGATACGCTAAAAGCGCAGCGCAACTGCCAGAACAATATGCAGACCAGCGCCGCCATCAATAATGTCAACAGCGCCAAACGTTTCCAGCCCTTCAGTCTGATCAGTTCCCCGAGGCTTCTTCTGTGAACCCGTGAAGGTCGGGGTGGACTTCGCTGTGCGCTGGCACTGATATCAACACAAATCCAGATAGAATGCCTACCAGCACTACCCATAGGGCACTGATAGCATAGTTGCTGACCCTCCAGCCAGACATGCTCGGGCCACCTCTGGTGGGTTGGCAGTCTGGCCAGCAGGTCGGGGCATGTGGGCAGAGCTGGGGGACCAGCATCAGGAACAGAGGTGGGATGACGGCATAGCGGGCAGGTGATGTCATCCTTCTTTAGGTGTAATGATACTGCCCGGAGACGTGACAGGCACTCCAGGCAGAAGACATGAGCGCAGTCCAGCTGCTTGGGTGTCTTGAAGACATTGTCATAAGTGCTGTAGCAGATGGAGCACTCAGGACGGGCTCCACAGTGCTCCAGATCCTCCTCGGTGGGTGGGGCCTGTGTGCTCCACACCTGTAGGGACTGATCCATTCTTCTATGCTCCACCCTGTCCAGCTCTTCACAGACAAAACTGGACACAAAGAACTGGTTTTAGCCTTATATTCCACACACACTAAATATTAAATAGAACTTAAGACTTGTAAATGCTGTAGCACAATATTGTTCCATTTTTAGTACATTGCAAGTACATTATAAGTTTTGCTTTACATAAATTGTGCCCTCAAACAATTTGAATGTATTTGGTCCAGTTCTAACCCTATTTTGGTGGTGTGTGGTTCTGTGGGTTAGAATGGAGTACACCCGTGATCGGAACGTAGCCAGGCCAAATCTTGTGGCCTGCAGAGCGATCGCACCATTGGGCCCTTAAGTAAGGCTGTTAACCCCAATTGCTCCAGGGCTGCCACATGTAGACTGACATTGCACAATAATCCCCAAACTCTCGGCGAATAGGTGTCTGTGTCTCATGGAGAGCGAGCTGGCATAAGAGAAAACCCCCATGCCCATAAATAAAGTATCACTGTTCCATTATACAATTCTTAAGTACAGCAAGCTTACTACCTCAGCAACACACCTGTGTGATGAGAGGAGCTGGTGAGGAAAGCTGAACAGACAATAGTGGCTTTGATTAATACCAGGAGACTGTGTCCTTCAGAGTCACTCAAGGAGACCACACCTGTCACAGGTTGACCTTTTGTGACAGCCTTTCTCCAGCTTCTGTTGTCACTGCCAGACCTTGTGGCAGCACTAGTAGTGATAGCTAGTTATACTGACTGTAGTAATAACTTTACTAAATATTATTAACTAAGTTTCATATCCATATGACATTCTGTCCTCTCTGCTGTTCCAGTCTTGTTTTATGTATGGTTTATATAGCACACAAGAAATAAAGATATGAAATAGGACTGTGGATACATTAAAAGATTAAAATGAATAAGTTATAATAAAATATACAGATGAATGTGCAAAAGCACAATGATAAAGCAGTCTGCCATGGACAGGGTCTGCAATGTCAGTCAGGCTGCCGGAGATTTCCATTCCAACATAAATGGGAATGTAACTGAGCAGAGGGATTTTTGGTTCAGCCAGCATGAGCTGTTCAGTGATCTTACTGTCTTTTGTTTCAGCCTAAGTGTTCAGATTTAGGGGTCATTGCAAGCACTTCTGATTAATGGTCACTGAATAGTCACTGAAAAGCCCAGTGACTATGACAATCACAACCAATGACAGACTTAAACAAACAAACAAACAAATAGATTTTTGTATAGCGCGTTTTCACAACATTACATCGTCTCAAAGCGCTTTACAGCATTCCTGCCCAAAGCCCCCAGTGAGTAAGCCAGAGGCGACAGTGGCAAGGAAAAACTCCCGAGAAGGAAGAAACCTTGGGAGGGACCAGACTCAAAGGGGGAGCCCATCCTCCAGGGGCCGGCAGGGAAAGTCAAATCGGGGAGATGGCTAAGTGGCAAGTCACACAGTCTAAGTCATAAAATATGAGTCAGAACCGGGGAGCAGGGAGGTTAAACAACAATGCAGAGAGACACCAAACAACAGTAAGTTACAGTGAAATTCATATACAGGGATAGGTAAACGTCAAATTTGATGGTAGGTCGGAAAAATAATAATTATACTGTAATAAAAGTAACTACATACGATACTGTACTGTAACTCGAGCTGATGAAGCTGCACAGTGTTTTCACGAGTGTCACAAAGTAGTGCGTGTGTTCAAGACGAGCCACTGTATTTAACCCACATTTTTTATATAATAGACTATATAACAGTTCATTTGTAAGTACAAGTTGCCCGTTAAGTTGGACATTCTTAACTCAGGGACAGCCAGTACGTACACTGTTCAGCCATTGAATGGCCTGGCCTGCACTGTGAAATAATCTATAGCAACACTATGGACCATCTCTTACTTATAAGTGCACATACAGAAGATGGTAATGCTGTGAATGCAGGTGAATATCTGTATAGGCAGATTTCTTATTCTCTTAATATGACTGTTTTACAATTTGCAGTCTTTAATGTCTGAGTTCCTAAATGTGATAATATAAACTTTTAAATTCTTGAATGTACCAATTATATACCATTCAGTCACCAAGCACAAATTGTATGCCTCTGAGTTTCTGAATATCTTACTTATAGATCTACATCTGTAAGCACATTTTTTTTCTGTAAGTACGTTTGTACTTCATAGCCCTTGGAGTCATTGTCACAGAAGAGCAATAGAAGATGGACTTACCTACCTGTTCACTGTATAGCATTGGATGTCAAATTCACAAATTTTTATTTCCACGTATGAAGTAGTTCCAGCTGATATAATCCTTCAATTTAAGGCTGATCTTGGGGCCCTTCTGATGATTTGCAAATGAAGTCGTCGTGTTCCAATGCCTTGAGTAATCTTCCAGGTAATACAGGTAAAGGTGTGTTTAAAAACGGCAGAATAAGCAAAGGTCCCCTTTCTATTCAGTCTTTGTTCACAATCCCAGTCTCACTTGACTTATCCTGTCTGCTGGCCTGTCAGCACTGTGTCTGTAATTGAATAATAACACATCCAAAGGGGAGGGACATAGTGAAGGAGAATGAAAGAACGAGGGAAATCCTTGTTCTCCCTTATACACACAGGAATACGTGCTCACTTTCAGACCTGGATAGCTGTTCCTATTATTACCTCAGGATTCAAGAGAGAATTCTATTTTTGGATATGAAGAAATATAGTTGAACAAGGTGACATTCCTGGTACACAGTGCAGTGGGCATTTTCACGTAACCAAGCATCAGTTAAGAATGAACAAAACACTCCACAAAAATGATAATAATACCACATTCAGGTAAACTGCGTGCTTGTTTGTGACTTTGGTCTTAGGATTGTAAGGACTTCAGTTTAAAAAATCCAAGCCAAATAGTTATTTTTAACACTGCTGGAAATGTATATTGTAGTTCTGGCTATATTTCATACGTTTCTTCACAAAAAAAGCAATTTGGAAACATCAACTCACCTGAGCAGTTTGTCCATGTGGAAAACTATAGAGGTACGAGACAGATACAGGAGAATGTAGCTAAATCTCCAAGATTAAACTAGCAATCTAGACAACTGCTGACAACTGCTATAGTTGCCTGAAATACAGTTTTGACTTATCTTATGGTTTGGACCTATTGTGAGGAATGACTTTGACCAGGTGATTTACTTAGCAATTAGTGGGTTTACGTATACTGTCAGAAAAACGTCTTGTTCCCCAAGGTAGAAACAACATTAATGTACCCCAAATTTTGGTACAAAAATGTCCATCAGAGTCTGTTTCTGTACCTTAAAAGGTACATTTCACTACAGCTAGGGTACAAATGGCAGACTACTGTGACAAGTAACTGTACCTTCAAAGGTACAAGTTGGTACTTTTTTCCGACAGTATAGTTATTAACTAGTTTTGCATTTCTGATTTCAGTGCGTAGCTGTCAAAATTGTTCACGATTCCCACTTCTTGGGCATTCTTTGTTAGAGGACACAAAATAATGGAGAGAAATACCAGATGTGAGAGTTTTTACACGGTGTGGTTAAATGCCGTCCTTGGAAATGTGACCTTATTTGTATGTGGGTCTATGTTGTAGGACAGGATTCAGACCTTCATTGTTTAACATCCCACAATTGCTTACGTGGGCAGAAAGTCGCCCTGTTAAATGGTGAACTTGTTTACATCCCTCATAGCCGAGATGCATCATAAGCTTTATCCTGTTTGTGTTCTACAGCACAGTTTCACGTGCCAGAATAAAAGGTTGTTTACTGCTTGAATGCAATAGAAATGTTATTACAGGTTTTACGTTCTGTCTGCATTCCCCAGTTTATGATGTGCATGTGCATGCTGATATCGAGAGAAACAAGCTTATTATCTTGTGTCAGCTTTCCAACAGGCCAATGCTGCTTTTAGTACCTGTCATTCAAAGGTGCAGTTATTCAATAACCAAACACCCTTCTAAAAGACTAACTGGAAAAATATTAACTGGAATCAAGGAAATAGAACAGTAAGTGGCAGAATGGGCATTTTTGAAGGAAGGAATGGGTCATTGACTTCTCTCTGCTGGTCTTCATGGGGTCCATCTCTTTGGTAGCTTCATTGCAGTATAATATTCAGTTATTCATTTTCCATACCTGCTTGTCACATGCAGGGTCATGGGAGTCTAATCCTTATTCTGGAAGCTATGGGCATAAGGCAGAGAACAACCTAGGATGGGACACCAGCCTATTATAGGGCACACACACACACACACACACACACACACACACACACACACACACACACACACACACTATTCATACCTACAGGTAATTTTGCAACTCCAGTTCACCTCAGCATGTCTTTGGACTGTGGGGGGGAACCGAAGGACACCCCATGACAGCATGGGGAGAACATGCAAACTCCATGGTCTCCAGATGTGTGACGCAAATGTGCAGAACAAGGTACCACTGTGCTGCCCTGTGGTATAGTAATGGAGGCCAGACTCTTATCACACATTATCTACACAATTCTGAGAAGGGGACAATCCGTGTGAAGGCATTTTTTTTCAGAGAAAAACATGAAACAGCATTCTGGTACTGTAAAGCCTGTGTTTTTCTCACAAAGCCTCACCTAGAAACATGCTTTTGAAGTGAAGGAGAAATTATCATTACAATTAATTCATTTAGATATAATTATCATAGTACCAACTTTTATCAAGTAGTATATTTTTATAGGAAGTCCATCCATTTTCTGTAACTGCTTGTCCTATTTAGGGTTGGTGGGTACAAGGCATGGTACAGCAGAGCATGGGGTGTCTAACCCTCACAGAGCACACTGCAGTCAACCTCAGCTTGTATTTCATCTGTCAGTTGGGGTGGGTGGGGGGGCAGGGACAGGAATACCCACCGGAAACCCCATGACGACACGGGGAGAACATGCAAACTCCACACACAAGGAACCCTGGCAGAGACTCAAACGCTGGTCCCAGAAGTGTGACGCAACACTGCTAACTACGGCCCCACCATGCCGTCCCACGTACAGGAAGTGTAGAGGTTATTTCAAAGAAGACATTGGAAATATTACATCTAATACCTAGTGATTCATCCATCTTCGATACCACAAATACACTGGAGGGTTGCAATGGGCCTCTCTGGAAGCACAGGACAGGGAAGAAACCTGGTTTGGATAGCAGCTCCTCACCAGGCGCCCACACAACATGGAGACACCAGCTGGCTATATAAAGTGATAGAATCTTTTTACCTGTTGTAAGGATCATATGGACAGTTCACTGAAGGCTGGTGGTTTCTCAGCTGTTTCACAGCTGTGCTGATTATTTCTATATTAATATTTTTAAAAATATAGTTGCTGGCATTTATGAATGAAACAAGACCTCGTAATCTATGTTTAACAGAACTAACTGTACGCTGTCAACCATTTAAAAATTGCTTGGAAAGGGCACCTCTGCCTACTGAGCTTTGCTGATCTTACAGCACCATGATAAAGTAAGTAGAGCAAGGAGAGCAAAGGACTAGAATAGGGGAAACCATGTGGGTGCTTTAATCTTCCAATTTAAATAAAGGAGGCGATGTCACGCTGACAGCAGATTTGCTCTGCTGTGGTACCACTGTCCATCCTGCCGTCAGAAGCAGTACCAGCACCTACAGTAGGTGCCATCACTCACCAGCATGGAGAGATAAACCATTCCAGTGCTGTGGATTTGTATAAGTCCCTTTGCAAACTATCTATTGAGTTGTGGGCATATTCATACAGCAAAAGTTAGGGGGCAGTGTGTGGCTCGGTGGTCATGTGATTGAAAGGTGGCTGGTTTGAGTCCAGCCTCAGTATGTCTGCAGGTCCTTGAGTAAGAGCTGTATCCTCTAGCTCGCTGGGTGCCGCTGTGGGTGGCTGCCTTTGTCAACCTACTTACTTTCACCTACAAAGAGCATAAGAACATAAGAACTATACAAACGAGAGGAGGCCATTCGGCCCATCGAGCTCGCTTGGGGAGAACTTAACTAATAGCTCAGAGTTGTTAAAATCTTATCTAGCTCTGATTTAAAGGAACCCAAGGATTCAGCTTGAACTACGTTATCAGTTGAGGAAGGTGTGAAAAAGAATTTCCCCATGGGGATCAATAAAGTATCTATTATTATTCCATCTAGTCTTCTCATTTATGGAGACGTAGGACCTTAGGAAATGACTGACATCCTAGTTTGACTGCTCAGTCTGTCCAAAGAATAATTGTAGTCTCCAGACGGCTGAAAATTTCCCTCCAGTACTGGAAGATAAACTGAGAGCTTCAGAGAGTAGATTCTTAAGTGCCAGGAAATACGTATGCAGCAGCACCTGGTCCATCATGTTGGTTGCCCACAAACAAATTAAAACTCCTAAAACTCACTATATTGACTTTGGTCAGTTTCCCTTCCCCTTTTTGCTAATGTAATCAATTCCTGTGTTCTTCTCAAGCATGAAAATCTGAATCTCTCCCTCAGCAAAAGGTAGAAGGAGCTGATGCTAACAGGTATCTGTGACACGTGCCATTGTGAAACAGTTTTTATGGATGTTTGGTCTCAAATATACAAAATCAGTTTTCAAGTGCTGGTTTGCCTTTACAGCTAATAATTAGCTCAAAAGCCTGGTGAGGTGCTTTGTTAAATTGGTTGAACTGGTGATGTAATATAACAGATATGTTGACGCTCTGAACCTCTCAGTAATACAAACCGTGTAATCATCTTGTGCTCTTGCATTAGAAAAAAATACAGCTGTAATTTTATTACATTTCAGGTGCAATTTTATTAAACTTCCAAAAGATGGAAACCCAGTGGAAGTTCAAAATTAAGGTGTCCTCATGCAATCTATCAAATTGCTTCTTATACACTATTCTGTCATGACCTGCTCATCCGATCCTCCTGTGTGCCACGCCACCCTTGTTACCGCATGTGGAATCCCAGTGTTTTCAGCTGTGTCTAGATGTTGTTAATTGATTCTTTGTATTTAATGCTTCCGTGTCCGTCTTACCCCTGTCCGGTCATTGACGTTCGTGCTTGCGTTGCGTCCTGTGATTCTGTTATTTCTAATAAATCCCCGTGTACCCGACTTCATGACGTTTATGTGCTGCTTTCCCGGACGCATTCTGTGACAGTATTCACCATAGAATATAATACTGTGGGGAGATTGTGGGTCACGTTCAAAGAAATTGACGATATAGAACGCTCCACCTTTAATGATAGCTTGCTGTCAGCAAAAGCACACAGTGCTACAGACAAGGGGTCAACAATTCACGTATCACTCACACTCGGGGTTAAACATTAACAAACACAAGCACTCCATGGCAAAACATCACACAGATACAACACTGTTTACAACAATTAAACCAAATGCGTGTATTTCATTTACAGGATGTATACATTCACGCAGCATCACACTACAGAAACATTATAATTAGGGCTGGGAAATTTATCGTGTTAACATGTTGCATTGATTTTAAAGTTAACATATTTTAACATAAGCAGTATTT